GTTCCAGATCTTGTCGCTACCACATGCAAACTTCCAGCACCCGTTGGCCGTGACATTGACCTGAGCTCCGCTTCGTGGGCACAAGACACACCACATGCGGTGAATGCCCTAGAGTTACAAGTAAACCAACCATCATACTCAACCACAATACCATGGTAATTAAATCACGCTAATCAGAGGGTTTCCTTGCGCCATTACTTTTCAATATTTCGGGCACCCACCGTCCACACACAACAAGGTGCGAGCCACAGAAAAATCGAGCGTTTCCCAACACCCTAAGGTCCAAGGTTCCAAGACCGGCCATTCAAGAACTCTGGAAACTCTGCACCATTAAAGAAACCCTAGAATTGTGATTCCCCTGTTCATACCAACAAACAATGGTTTCCCAAGGGGCTCAAAGTGGTGCGAAATGGATTTCGTCCATCTCTACCATGCTACCCTTTGGCAAACATTGACATGTCAAATTCAAGCCCAAGACACACCCAATTCCAGAACGAAGATGCACACCACGATAAGGTTCATGTAGTCAAACCACTTTGGCACATCCTGTGCACCCACCCTTGCTGCAATATCAACTTCGAATCCCAAAGACACGAGGTTGAAGAGGATGATGAACCTGACAGCATCGACAGTTGACAGCACAATGCGCTGCATAATTAAGTCAACTCCTGAGAGCAAGCAACGAGGGCTATGGACCCGCCGAGTGCGGGGCATGATGCCATAGATGAAGATTGGATGACATGTGATGTAGTGTGCAATGGATTTCGGCGATGACCAATTGATGAGCGCCACATCCTTGGTGCGAGCAGGGGGAGACTTGCGTTCCTCACTTCAGAAGTCAGCTGTCCGACCCAAAAGGGCATGGGCACTTCTCATTGTCTCGTCTCTCTTTCAGTCTCTGGCAAGCCGAACGCAGTGCCTCAAACAGCTGAAGGCTTGTACTTTACAAAGCTCTCTCAGGCTCAAGTACAAAGCAGATTTTCCCGTAGCCTGGCATGCAACAAGAAAGGTGCTCATGGAACAGCACCACTTACTCGCCTGCAGATTAACATAACACCAAATTGACAGTCCATGTGTACAACACCATTCTGTCGGAGAACGCCTCGTTGGGTTCCATGATCATTTGCCGGGGGAGTCGTAGGAAACTGCTTGGTTGTTAAGGCAGGGCATTGCGGTCCCCCCGCCCCACAGGATTGAATCCTTCTAAGACCCTAGGATTCCATACGAACCTTCCTGAGCCCCGAGATGTTTCTCCTAAGGTCACTCTATGGGTGTCAAAATAGTGTGACCCCCAGAATGGGGTAGGCTTTCCTTTGATTCACCTTAAGCCAACCTTGCAAAGGGGTACCGAGCCTCCACAAAACCAGCTGCCCGTACCGCCTGCCAGCCTGCCAAGGTGCTCGTTCTATGGAATCGGTGCCTAGCGAAGCCTGATGATGGAGCTTGCGCACCGTTGCGAACTTCGAGTCCTCCGAACTCTCAGCCCATGGGAAAACAGGCTGCGACATGGAGGGGTCACGTCTTGACGCCACTGCCAGTCACTACAAGGGATACCCATAAACCGGTGAGCTCGCGCCAACCCTATGGCCAAGCGGTTGCAAGCTCTGCCCAGTCCTCTGTTTCATTGATCTCTTCGCCTCCGCTCTTTGTGCTGAGTTTGGGGGAGACCCCAGCTTCGATGATCTCGGACTGTCCCGATCGGGACAGTTGTGGGGACACGGCCTGAGACAGTTCTGGCGATGTCTCCTGGCAGATAGGCGAGAATGTACGAAGGAGAGATGGAAGCAACGCTGACCCCGGATTAATAATCCTGTCCTATAAAAAGGTGTGTCACCCACGACGGTGAAGGATTCCCGCTCAAAGGGGACACCCCCGCAGTAATCAACCAGCTTTATTTATCCGGCAGTAGCATTATAGTGCACAATATTGCACAATCAGAGCGAGCGATAGATGGTGGAAGTATTTGCCGTCCTTCTCCAGCGGGTGGTCGCCATTCTTGGAAGCATGAAGGATCTGAAGAGAGGGGCTGAATGCTTCCTCCTCCATACAACTCTCGCACACCGACGTGACTGCTTGACCAAGTCCGCAAAAAGCGTGCTTTTGCAGCACCCCAGGTTGGAGCAGAGCGCAGCCTTTTCATATGGGTGCATTGAAGCAACATCCGCAAAACTGCCCCCTCAATGGGTGGTTCAAAGGGAAACCACCCCCCGAAGGTGTTAAGAACACCTCAAAATGTACTCACTCTCTTGGGGATTCTTTCTTGGCACTCTTTTCGCTCCCCCTCCTTGTAGTGGTCCCAGGCCTGCGCAATTTGGCATCGAAAGACTCAAACACCCCGGAAGAGCAGTTGTAACAGCCCAAAGCCCTTGGTTCATTTTGGGCACAAGGTGAATTTTCAACTGAGTTCGAACAAACACCTATTGCAATGGAATGCAGGCCAAACATGAGTAAACGTTTTAACACAGTCCTGGCGTACAGCAAGCTGTCGAAGCTTGCTAAGCTTGGGGGCGTGGTGCATGTCCAATGCAACAAGGGGTAGTCAACGCAAGCGTGGATTCGTTGGAGGTGTGCAAGCTGCAGCTGGCAGAGCAAGTTGCCACTCTACAGAAGCCGGCATGAGGTTAACGCGAAAGGGCACCTATCCATCTATCCTTAAACACGAATGAATCACGTGGATCTAGAAGCCAAAGGCAGAAATATAACTGCTGCAACTCAAAGCCGCACCGTGGCCGAACACCCTCAAGATGCGGCCTTGAACTTCTCTGTCTCGGACCGATAGCTCCTGAAAGACGCTTTTGACAGCTTGGCACTGACACGCCCAACATTGCAATATGAACCCATGCAACCAAACAATGCATCTATTGTCCCACCTCCCCATTCACCAAACATTAAATTACAATTGGCAATATACTAGCACGATTCTAAACCAACTTCTCTGTCGACACCAGCGCACGTTGGGTAGCCCTCCCTATTTTTCCTGCCGTGGCAAGGCTAGGGCCTATGCAGCCTTCTATACCATTACCTGTGGTGTGGCCCCCCTTTTGCATTTTAAAGGGAAACCAAAGGCACATTTTGACTTTCAGGGGTCCCCGTTAGAGAAACGAACTCAGCTGGGAATTGAAACCATTTGGCAGCCAGAAATGGATGCGTTTCGAAATAGGGGACGCGAAGATTCATGCCCATGTCACCTGCGTGCAGCCCTTTGCATGGCCCCCATTTTTGGACAAGATCCTTTTTTGCGGGGGGGGGGGGGCATCGGCCAATTCCGAAAAGGGTGACGTTTCCTTTTGGTTCCCTCTGATACCCAAAAGGGTGCCATTTTGAGACACTCCCGTGCAGGTTCACTTGGCCCTCCAATAGCTCGCATACCAAAAACAGCGTCTGAAATGATCAAAGACTTTACATTTGGATACATTTGGGTCTAGAATCTGAGCTCTGCAGCTTTTTGCGTGAGATTTCAAGAAATGATTTGTGAAAATGCCACCTAGGCCGTGGGTTCTTCATGCCCTTCCGTGCGGCATGTCCTCTGCAGTTGGCTAAAGAGCTGGCACAAGAGCTTCTCTTGCTTCGAGAATTGCCTGGGTCAAATCCGCGCAGCCAAACAAGCGACGCAGCAGATTGCCGCAAATGCAAATGGCCACACGTTGACCTGCTATTGCCGCGCCGGACATCTGCTTCTGGTTCTGAGTTGATCCCTTGATATGCTCGACATACTGGACTCATGGGACTGTGAGTTGGCAAAAGCACACGCCAGCTGATAGCATGCCAAAGGCCAAGGGTTCAAGCCATCGCGTCCGGGCATAGTTTCTTGGTGCGTGGGCTCCAGGAAATAAGTTTGTTTCGCAACCCTTGGCAGCATGGGGCAAGAGAGTGCCCGTGCATGCCGCCCATCGGTTAAGTTCACATGACTTGTCTCCGTGGAAAGGAGCATAGATCTCATCTTTGCACTTTTAATTCAAGCTCTTTCACGTTAACTCAATCAATGAATTCCAACAGGGGATGATTGGGAGAGACTCAGGTTCCTTGGCCCAAAATCTGTATGCCGTATACGCCATGCTGCTGTTCAATGAAGGACCGCAGCTTCTGCACTTCCTCGGCAGTGTCTGACCATTCGATTTCCATGGCTGCTTCACGGATCATGGCGTGGCCCTGGGGCATGGAGCCAAACGCCTCTGAATTCATCGCATCGCGCAGGCTTCCGGCTGACGGATCTAAGTAGAACCCGTCGTTGGTTTTTAATAGGGTGTTCCCGCCAGCGATAAAACTGAAAGTGAGGGAACCCTCCAGGGCATCAACGGGCTGTATCAATCCGGGGTTCCCGAGAATTTTCCCCTTTGAAACATCGGCACCAACGGGAAACTCACCTGTGGGCCAAACAGGTGTTTCAAAGCCATCCAAAATGGGAAGTGACGCCTGTTGACCTGCGAGAAGGCTACGAAAGAGAAGCCTCTTCTCGAGGCTGTTATACCTTTTGCACTGCACTGCCGCACATCACTGCTCAGGGAATGCTCTGCCAAGCGACCTCTGCGCATACATCGAATTCCACAAGCCTACATGCTGAGTCTGGATTAATCTCTTTTGCAGCTTTTCAGGGTTGAATCCAAAGAATGACTGGATAAAGCAGGCAGCTGGTTCGTTGTTGACTTACATGAGGCATGCAGCACGAAAAAAGCCCGGGTTGCCCATGAAAGGTTGTGCGCTCATGTTCTAGTGCTATCGTCAAAATAATCCTGAGGATCCTACTGAATGGGTTCCTCTCGCGATTGCGCAGAGTGTGGTCATCCGGGTCTCGATTGGGATTCCCAGGACTGTGGGCGATCAAGGCTAGCTGCTATCCAGGAAGAGCTTAAGGGAAGGGCGAGCTCATGGCTTGATAAACATCATGTCCACAACGTCACGACGAATTCTTGTGCAAACAGCCTAAAGACAACACAACCACAGGGGTTGTTCAACGAAGCAACACGTCGTCGAAACCGAAACGGCCGAAACGTCGAAAGGACCTCGCGCTTTGCCAACTTCTCCAACGCGGCGGCGAGCAGCTGCTCCAAGCCTTTCGCTTGGAAACCCTCTTTCCAAGCGATGGGATTTGACTGCCCAAGGAACCTCGTTCAAAGCCTTCCTGCCAGCTTTTGGGAAATGAAAGCGACGTATGGTTTGCAATTAAGGTCTTCCCAGTAGGTGCTCGTTGGTGGAACTATAATATAACCGAGCTATGCCCCATGACCATCCATGCTGAATAGTTCCAGGAATCTTTCAGGATCAACAAATCTTACCTTCCAGCGGCACAATGTCAGGTCGATCCCATTGCAAGCGGCCATGGTTCTTCGCCATCCAACACTTCATCCGGGAGTTGGTCAAATGGTCCCCACCCGCTTCAATTCCCATTCACAGGCGAAAATCGAAAGTAATACTCGGCCTGAGCAAGAGCTTCAGTCAACATTATCTCTTTTGAATTGCACAGCATTGCGCCTGTCAATGCGTCCAATGGCTACCTTTGCGTGACTGGAATCTGGACGTGTCAATGTGCCAAGCTCAACAAAACACGTGCGTGTTTGGGACTGGGATTCACAGTGGGCTCCTTCTGTGCGGGCATGCTTTCAACAATAACTTCCGTAGAACGGGGCCTAATCGAGTTTCCTTCCTTGAAGAAGAAAGCATGCCGCGCGTGAGAACGTTCAGGGAAAGCTAGATTGCGGGAGAGCCGGGGAATAGAAGCGGGCAGAAACCTTGGCCCTCGTGACGTCGGCTCCACATCTCCGCAAGCCACGGTCGCGACGCACCGGTCTCAGAGCTTGGAGACCGCGCGTTGGGGCCGCGCGGTGCGGCACTGCTTCGCTTACCCGACCCTCTGCGAACTTTTGGTGGGGTCGACAGCCATCAAAAGGTGATTTTGCGCACCTCGGGCGGTGGACCCGCGGGGCGGAGAAAGGGAGAGAGACAAAGAGAAAGACAAGGAGAAGGAGAAAGAGGAGGAGGAGAAGGAGGAGAAAGAGAAAGAGAAAGAAAAAGATAAAGAGCAAGATTCGAGACATAAGGCCGGCAATAGAACGATACTAGACAGACAACTCCAGAGAGACAAAACAAAAGAAGAAGGAAGATAATGAGAAAGATAAAGAGGAAGAGACGGAGAAAGCTGATGGAAAGACACCGGGAATAGACAGAGAAGGAAACATAAAGAAGGGGACAAGACATACTTGGAAGTTCTCCCCCTCTACTTGTTCGCCGGCCATACTGGTATCATAGCTGATGCCTTGTTTCTCACCTGCCACTCTGATCTTGTAACACCGCCAAATGCAGAAACTGCAGACCAGACAGAGCAAAGCCTCGAATCGTTGGTGTTTGCACAGGCGACTCCCGTATCATGCCGTCCAACCTAACTCGAACGAACTCCCAGCCTTGCAGCAGCGCAAGGGTGACGGAACCTGCTCAGTCAACCACAGCTCCAGAAGCCTGCTTCACCAAGCCCAGGTAAGTGCCAAGACCATCAATCTTAGGTGGGGATGGTGCAATGCGCACAGTTCCAAATTTAAGCACGAAGCGTGGACACATAGCACCTGACATGTCTTTCACCTCCAGGAGAACATGGCTTGACGCATGCCGAATGGAAACTGGTGGCTACTGCACGTGAATGTAGGCAGGAACCCTCGAATTCCCGCGTGCATTAACCCGCTCTGCCTGGGATCTCTTCGGAGATTTGGCCCACATCATCCAACAGGACGCCCAGCTGCTCATCGAACTGGGCAATGCGTGCGCGGCACTGGCCTGAGCGGCGCGGAAAAAAGGTCATGCTAGGGGGCTATGTTTGTAAAAGTAAGCCGAGGCTAAGCTCTGTCAAGGGTTTAGTAGATGATTGTCCCCCCGGTTACCCATAGCAGACCCTGGAGGCCCATGACAAGTCAACATGATATCAAATCCCGACAACTTTCCTTGTTTGTGAATGTGGCCCCAGTAAGGAAGTGCTAGAGGGACCTCACGTGCGCAATTCAATTGGTTCGCCGAAGCAGCCCTTTCATACCCGGCAGCAAAAGATTGCGACACGATCGTGCATGCTCACTTGGCAACAAGCGTGCCTCCAACATGCGCCCTCCTAACATGAAACCAAAAATAATTTGCCTTTCAGGAGAAAATGATTCAAGCAGGACCCCCAGAGTCAGGTGTGCGGGAAAGTACGTAAATTCAAACGAACGCCAGGCCTCGAAGCTCCGCAACATCCTCCGCGTCTTCACCTGCAAGGCGTAAACTCATCTTTGCGCGCTACACGAAGGGTTTCAAAGGAATCGGGACAAAGGAAATCACTTCCGTGGATTCCAAAAGTGGTCCCAAAAACATTTAAAGTCCACTAGCACCCCCGAACAACTAACTGCTTTCTCCCATGTCCAAAGTCCCAGGTACTGTCCAAAAAGCAGTGGTTGGGAGGTGCTGGCTAAATTCCAAAAGCGGAACTTCCAGGCGCATCGGGAAACGAATCAAGGAACGGGCTTTTGGGATCCCACAATTTTCATTCGGGTCGTACTTTGTTATCAAAGAAAAGCCCTTGCCAAATCATGTGGCTGCGGGTCAAAACCAATACGGTTTTTTGACCCATGGAAATGCCATTCTTCAGTGCCAAATGGGAGCCAGCGGGTTTCTGAGCGCCACCTGGAAGCTGAAGCTTGAGCTCCCCCAAGCGCTCCCGCACCATCCGCGCGCAGCTCTCCTCCGCCGCCCCATGCTGAAGGAGGAAAAAACCCGATATTCCATCATTCATGGAAACCAGCCACAGGAAATTCTACAGGAAACTAGCCAAATTCCCACCAACATCAGGGGTCTCCTGTAGAACTTCCTGTAGTTGGTTCTTAGAATCATCCCTGCAAATTAGTGGGCAACACCAGTTGCAACCTAAGCGAAGCGAAATCGACCCCTATGAATAGGACTAGCATGGGGGCCAACATGAAGGATCTGGGATCACTGATCACCTGTGAGCGAGTCAACCTTAGCACGTACCATCCACAGCACCTGCGTTTTCACTTACGACGCGCTCCTCCACGCAGCGGCCCAGGATGCTCAGGGAGTCTTGGCCTCAATGCCGAGCGCGAGCTCTTCTAGGTTTTGTTTTTGGTTGCGGAAAGGGACATGGAACTGCATAAGCCAATGAGATTCCAGGGGCCACACCCTCCCCAATTCCCATGCTCAAGGGGTGGAGACTTCACTTGTTGGCTCAATACCCGGACACTCCGCGTGACGAATTACAGGCGATGGTTGGACGAGGGGGCCGGTGACAAACAGAAAGCATTGAGAACTGACTATCAATGTGCATTGCGATTTAAACGCAGGGCGAGGAGCTGTTGGTCCGCATGCAAGCCCAAGGTTCCCGCCGACCGGATCACGCAAACGAAACAACTGAGATCCCGACAAACGCCGCGCCCGGGGCAAAAGAGACCACATGCTCCTGGCGCTTGCCCATCATCGCTCTGTCTGGGCCCCTCTCGCCCCAGCCAATGGCACAATTCCCACTTTGGTTTTGCCTCTTTACTCCCCACACATCAAGGGAATTGGGCCACCTATGTTCACCCCGTACATAAATATATGTTGCTTAACTTAGCAAAACTTGTTGCTCTATTGTGGTGATATCAATGCCAGCCAGCAGTCATTACTTTGACAGTTTTGGCAGTGCGAAATCCATTTTGAGAAACTCCCATCTGGGCGTGTTCTTTTGAGGGTACTTTCGTATTGGTAGTTTGGTTTAAGGGAAAATAGGAAACCGCACATTTGGAGGGTTCACCCCATTCAGACACATCCCTTTTGCGAGACTCCCATGTTAGCATCCGAAAAGGTCCATGACCATCCCTCAGGGCGCGTTGATCAAAGCGGCCGACCGCTTCTCCTGACCACAGCGCGGACCAATCGCGGGCATCGCCGCCCATGGACTCCGCGAGGACCTGGCGGAAGTGGTCCAAGCGCCGTTGGAAGAGGCGCTGCAGCTCGCCTGGAAGGCCAGCCGGGGGAATCTCAGAGCATATGGAACACCCAAAAATGTTGGGAACCAAAGGGGGGACACCAGGTGTTGATATGGCCATGGGTCAAAATCCCGTACCCCCAGTGAACATCCCAATCCCCACTAAAATAGGCCAAAATGGGCAGTGCACCTACCCCAAGATGGTAGCATTGGTTTTGACCCACGCCATATGAGTGGGGGGGGCGCAGGAAACCATCGGTCCCGTGGACATTTGCCTGAGCTTCCCTTGGCGGTAGCTTCAGGCAAGTGTGGCTCAATGCGGGCTGCTTTTCTTTTTTAACACCGATCCCAGCAAGCCTGGCCGGCACACTTTATGCAAGACCCTGCAATAGTGAGGGGAATCAGGGCTTGATGTGTCGGAATTGTCGGACCCATGCCACCATTCAAAAATGAATGGGCGACAGGTCGCCATGAAAGTCAAGTTCGGGAACCAGAGACTTCAGGTTTCCGAGGGCAGTCGTCCATTTCTGCCAATGTGAGCCGTCCGAAGCCTAGAGCCTCGTCCCAAGATGCTGACAGGGTGCTGATATGCCCCTTCAAATGCCACGCCTGTGTTCATGGAATTCCCTCAGAAGGCCTTTGCCCTTTGAAGCACAGTGGCCTTTCAGAGATTTTCAGGATTCAGATTTGTGCAAAATCCCCGCTCACCTGTCTAAGGAGCTATGAGCACTATAAGTCAGCATGCTGAACCACACGGAAAGGCTACTCACCAACCAGCACTCAGCAAAACCCACGCAAGAAATTAGGGGCACACTAGGCTCCGGGGTCAGCTGTTTGAAAGTTCACTATGTGCCGGACGGCCATCCTCAAACTAAAGTGAGTGAACATCAGGCAAACCTCAACTGTGATCCCTGCCTAGTTGAGCGCAGCTTGTGGAGTTGTGGCTGGCAATGAGCGCCTGTGCATCGCGCGCTTCGGCTGAAAACAGGGAATCTCAGGACCATAGCCAAATTGCAGGACGTGGGAGACATAGGAGCTCCAAAATTGCTAGTTTCCCTGCAATTTCCAATTTAATCAACTCCAAGGGGGGTACTCGCAAAAAGAGCAGAAACACGCAAGGGGAGACCCGAACTCGTCAACAACCCAATTCTGAGCCTTTCTCGCCATCCCGAGACATCGCCTCAAAGCGGCCAGCAAAGCTCTTGGCTCCGGCAGCCTCTGGCGCCCAGGTCTTCACAAACCTCAGAGGGTCTGAAATGATTGAAATCCGCCCAAAACTCAATGGCTTTGTTTGTTTTCAGCTTCACCCCTTAAGATTTCGCTGAAGAAAACTCAAGTTTGATCATTTAAGCTGCAGGGATACAGATTCGCTGAAGGGCCTTGATAGTGGACCTTAGGTTTTGAGGCTATTGTTTTGCTGGTGCTAGTGATTCCTTTGACGGTACCCGCAGAAAGGGCTCCACCAGAAATAGAAGCCTTCAAATTTCCGGGTCCAGAGCCATCCCTAGGGCCCTAGGGGGTTGCGGCCTTCCAATGTCCCAAGTTCTGGAGTCGGAAAGCTTTGGAAGATTGAACAAGTCGTTGACTGAGCTGGGAACCTGGCGAAGAGACAGGCTCAGCTTGGCTGCACTACTTATGGCCGAGACTGGTGCTGAGATCACCCGTCTAACACACAGAAAAAGCGACTGATGGACTAAACCCAAGCCCAACGAACAAACACCTCAATCACCAAAATGCCGCCCGGCCGTGGATGCCAGCCATGTTTATTCAAACTCTTCATGGTGCAGATGCCGGGGACTTTCACTTAGCTGGTCTGAAACTTGGTCCCAAACGCCAGGGACCAGTTTACCGTGCTATGTTTTAAGTTGCCACTCAATGTCCCTACCGTTCCCGCATGTACCAGGTTTGAAGACTGGGGCCGCTTTTGGATTCTAAAAACTACCCGTGCTTCATAGGGTTCTGACACCAGGATGCATACCACCTGCTTGGCAAGGACTTGCATCTGCGAAATCAGACGGTTTGTTGGTGATCGTGGATATAGTTAAGCCCCTCTCTTGTGGATGGTTTCCGGCCGGTTTCCCTTGAGCGTGACAGCCCAGGCAAATTTGGTAGATCGCTTCGCCGAGGCACTGCAAGCCCAAGGGGGCGAGCTCTTGTGCCATGGACGTGCCCCGGAAGAGGGACGCCACCTGCTCCGCCTGAAGGGTTTTCACTCCCAGGGCTCCCTATATTTCCCCTTTACACACCCCACTTGAAGAAAACTCACCTGACTTTTGCCACGCAGGTGATGTGTTCATCCAAAAAACATGAAGAGGGAGCCCTGCTATGCCCTACTTGTCCCCACCCCGCCCACTGGGAAAGGAAACAAGTGGGCACTCCCCCCCTCCATGCACTAATTCTTTGTACCACAGCCACTCAAAATGTATGGATTGCTTAATGTTGTTTGGGGTGCGGGGATTCTGGGCTGGGAGGAAACCTCCACCTCAACATGGGCGGTTGAGATGTTGCAAGGCCAACTGGCAAGTCAAACTGACACACAGGGTTGTTCCGCCCAGATTTAGCGGCGGGCGTTGACGTAAGGAGCTTCAAGGGTGGTATGTGAACACATGCATGGAAAGATTAGAATAAGCACAACACCAGGCGGGTGTGCAAGGAGCTTGCCTGCCTGGCAATGCTTTTCTGGGGGCTGCAAAGGTCTCTGAAAGACACGGGCGCCCGCCTTTTGTTTCAGGACCTCTTTGGAGGTGTCCAGCCGTCCAAGCGCGCCGGTGATCAGCGGCGGCGCGCCGCCTTGCTGATGACCCCAAACCCAGGGCCGCACAGAAAGGCGCCTTCTACATAAAAGTGACATCCGCACAGTTGGTTCAAAAGGAATTCACAGATCCAAAAGTCATTGTGAGAAACCGCCAGTTGAGCGCGCTGCGCAATGCCGTCTGTGGATTCGAGATGCGCAAAGCGGGGCCGCTGACGAACCATGCCATTTTACAAGGGAGACAAATAGGCCCCGTGTGCCTCTCTGCCCAAACTTCGGCTGGCAAAAACCGGCTTGCAAAGCCTACAATTGCTACAGGCATCCCTTTTGGGGCGAAGAGGAAACCAGCCATTTTGGGGGGGAGCTCCAGGGCGACCGGCGAATCGATCCTGTGCCGGCGCCGCAAAGGCCGCTGGCCACCACCACGGTGCCCTCGAAGGCCATGGCCCCAGCTGAGAGCTGCTGCAGGCCCACCTCCCCCAGCCTCAGCCGAATGCAGCGGTCGCTTTGTGGCAGACTTGATAAGTCGGGGCAGTGCACTTGCAAGCGGCCGGCGTATGTTGGCCGCTTTTTGTTTTGCAGAGTTGACAAAGACCATGGCAAAGAGTCGCTTTGTTGTCTGCGTCCACCAACTTGGCCTCGTCGAACATCAAAGGC